GGGGCTGCATAGGGTACCCAAATGGCTAGGGATGGCCCTGTTCACTGGGCTTCCCTGCAGAACGGTGCGGGGGATCTCCTGGCTGTTGGTCACGAGGTGTGAAGGTCCTGGCCACTAGGGTTTCCCTGTCTCTGCCAGACCCTCTGTGACCCAGTCATTCCACCCCAGACAGCTACGTGACACACACACACCTCACGTCCTGACTCTGCCCGAGAGCATATTGACCCTTCTGTGCCCACTGGGTGGCAATCCCTAGTCCAGTAAGTCACTGCCCTGCACAGCATTCAGAAAAGCATTACAGAAAATCCCCACTTCTGTCACACTGGGGTAGGGCTGGTGGGCTGGGGGTGGGATCCCAGAGAATGGGAGCATTGAGTGGGGTGAGATCCTGGGGGTGGGAGGGGCAGGAAGTGATGTTCCGGGAGGAGGGAGGAGAGGGGGCAGAGACATGGTAAGGGGGGATCCTGGGGCATGGAGGGAAGGAAGGAAGACCCCAGGGAGGGAGGCACAGGGGTGAGTTACTGGGGGACAGGAGGGTCCAGGGTGTGTGTGAGAACCCACGGGAGGCAGGAGAAGCCCAAACAAAGACAAGATGTTCTGACCTTGTGTGTCCCCAGCTGGCTCATCCGTATGAGTCCCCAGAAATGGCGACGGAGGCTCACTCAACACTGACGGTGGACGAGCTGAGATCCAGCCAGGCCATCAATGAGGACTATGGAGACACGTCATACGACCGAGGGCACCTGAACCCAAACGCCTTCCAGTGTAATGCTGGCCGCAATGCCACCTTCACCCTCACCAACGCCGCCCCCATGGACCCTTGCTTCAACCGGATCCACTGGTACAAACTGGAGAAAACTCTCAAGACACAGCTAAATGTGAGCTGCAGAAGTGTGGGAGGCACCCCCTACCTGGTGACAGGAGCAGTTCCCAGTGACCGTAAGAAAATCCCCATAGAGGGGGAGGACAAGGAAGGGGACCGTAACCGGCCATACAACCGGGTCTCGGTGCCCAGCCACATCTGGACAGCTGTTTGCTGCAACAATTCAGACAGCCTCAAATTCTCCTTCGCCTTCTTAGCAGAGAACCAGGAGGCATCTAGTCTTCAAATCATCCCCGTGGAGCAGCTAAACGCAGAGCTATCGGGTCTGTACAGGATTTCTGAGACAGTCAATGTCTTTGCAGATGACTGCGGCTCCAGGAGCCAGAAAGGCCAAGAGGTTTTATTAGCAATAAAGAAAGCCTTGTACAGTAGCTTCCAGAACTTGCTAATTGATTCTTACCCCCAGCTCGTTCCACCAGCGAAGAGGAGTAAACTGGACAGCGAGACCAGCCAGGTGATGAAAAGCACAAACTTGGATCAGAACAAGGTGCAGCTGACAGGAATTAGGTTCCTGGTGGGTATTTCTAGCCTGGCAGACTGGCACAGACAGTTTGAGAAGATGTACGAACAGGACGACCTGGCCTGTGTGCTGGCCCCTGCTGGAGTTGCAGTGGCAAAGGCTTCTGGGATTTCTGACAAAGTCTGTACCCTTCAGGAGCAGAAACACCTGCCGAACTCTGGTGTAACAGCCAAAGGGTGGAGCTGTGTTGGGCAGGCCTGTGGGTATCATGAAACCAACTACAGCTGGTGTTACACGTCTGACGAGAATGACTGGGATTACTGCTGTACAGAGGAGTGCACAGTGAATCCAGAGTCTAAACAATACGAGTGCCCACGAGGAGATGGTTCCACCACACAATGCTCACCCCAGTACTCCACAGTGACCGTCTCTGGGAGGGCCTGTCGGGCTGACCATCCATGTGGCCTTTATGAGAAAAGTTACTTCTGGTGCTATACAGATTATCGAGGCAACTGGAAGTACTGCTGCTCCCCCCAGCACTACTGTGGGTCCCATGACTATGACTACCAGTGGTGTTACACCCAGGACCCAGAGGCAGCTTGGCAGCACTGCACCCCGTGACAGTCCCACTGGGGAGGGAAGGGCAAGTGGGTGCTTGTCTGACTCCTCCACACCAAAGCAGAGAAGAAATTAATCAGCTGCCTTCATGTATTAGTGCAATAGGCCCCGCCCCTCGGCTGCAGCGACTCCACCCACTTCCTCCATCTGTCTCTTTAGATTTTAAAATGTCATAAAAACAATCTCCCTCCCACCCAGGATTTTAGACAGCACCTTCAAGCCATTTCCACAGGAGAGTCTCTTCCACCGGCTGCCCTGGGTTCAAAGGTCTCCATGTGACAGGACTGGGCTCCATTTTTAAAGCCAACTACAGACTTTGGATTCCCGACTTCAGATACGTTAAAGAAGGCTGGTTTGTACAAAATGCTGAGCACCTGGCCTCTCCGAAACAGGCCACCGTAGGGGGACATTTTTAAACGTGCCTGAGGAGTTTAGGAGCACAAGTCTCATTAGAAGTCACTGGACATGATGCTCCTAAATCTCCTAGGTGGTTTAAAATGTATCTCCTTAAAACGTCTCATGTTCTGCACCCAAAACACAGGCACCTAAGCTTTGTCATTAAAATTGTTTGGGGAAAAAGACAGTGAAGTCAATGATGGCATCATTCAGATGGTTTTTAAAAGTCCTTTTGTGCAAGAATTTTCCACAGATTTTTTTTTAAAATCAAAATTGGTTCAAATTTTAAGCAGTGAGGGAATTAGCCATTGGAGCAACGTACTGGGAATGTGATGGATTTTCTGTCACTTCAGGTCTTTAAATCAGGCTAGGATATCATGGTAAAAGCTCTGTTCTCATTCAACAACCCGGTATTGGCCTCAGTGCAGGAACCACTAGGTGAGGTTCTGTGGCTTGTGTGGAACAGGAGCTCAGACATGATGATTAGAAAGGTCCCTCCTGGCTCATTGCTGTACATTAATCTATCAATCGGATCCGCTTTTACCAAGATACTCTTGAGTAACTGGGGCCTGCAGATCACGTGCTGGGATGTGGCATGGGTGGCAGGTCAGAAAACGTTGCGATAACCTGTAACAGTGACGATTGATAGGAGGGTTACGAGAAGGGCTCAGAAAGACAGGATTCGTCCAAACAGAAATGCAACCCCAGCACTGTATTAGGATCATGACTGATAAACCAAGGGAGGACAGACCCAGAAATCAATTGACCAAACATGGGGTGTCAGGAATCAGGATAATTAGTGAACGAACTAATGAGGGGATTCTCCATTCCCCCTCCCCCACACATCCTTTTTAGAGCTTCAAAAGGAGACTTTGGGGACCAGGAAGCGTGGAGTGGACTCCTAGGGGAAAGGCCAGCAGGCCTCTGGTTTGCTCCAGAGACTCTGTCCTTTATCGGTGAGCCTGGATCCCCAGGACATCCAGGCCAGCACCCTGGCGAGGACACTCACTAGGCGCCA